ATTATTTTGGGAATGTTTGGCTGGTTGATTGTGTTTGAAAATAGATGTGCAGTTGGCTAGCTTTTTATGAAAGGTTACTAAAAGATCTGGAAACTTGTTTTAGTTTCTATTTTTCTAAGTCAACCATTGATTCAAAGATGGAAAATTGATTTGATTGATTCTTGATTGAGATTTCATAGCTGGATGATCTTCCTATATTGCCTAAGAACGTGTCCAGGTTCGTTTATCAGTTTTGGGAAGATTTCAGAATTAAAGAAGATTGATTCGTCTGGTGTTGATAAAGTTGGCCGTAACAGCTATGTTGCAGTGTTGTTGCAACAGGATCTGCAACAAATGTGGTTCAGTGAATTAATTGAAGATGTGTCAAGCTATTCACAGCTTGCTTCTTTATTGAAAGAGTCTCTGGAGTAATTGGAGGTTTCTTGATGAGTTTTTACTGGGTTGTGAGATAGGGGTGAGCACTTGTATTGAGTGAGATGATTTGAGTGTTTTTCGGGAGAAAAACTTTGTTGGAGGGATTCCAATGTTAAAAAGTCGAGGGGATCTCGTTGTTCAAGTCTATTGGGAAATTGCAAGTTCATAGGCGTCTTCTTAGAGAGGGAGTCTCGGGTAGATTAAGTCCAATTGAATTGTAAAAGAGTTCTTAGTGGATTGTTCATCATCTGGGCGTGGCCCCGCGGAGTAGGGTGTTACCGAACCGCGATACCATTTCTCTCGTGTTCTTTTATTTTATGTCTCTACATTATTCATATTGTCTTATAATTTATTAAAAGACTAAAACCGGTACTAACAATATTGTTCATGTGTTAAAAAATCCGCCGCTAATGAATTTTTGGGGGAGAGAGAGAGAGAGAGAGAAACTATGTGAAGGCCGAGATGGAGTAAGATATTCTGGAAGAAATCTTGTTGTGGGCTACTCAAAGCGTAATGGTATGCTTTATATCAGGATTAGTGAGAATCGGAAACTTATTAGGAGATGTTTTACAAAAGTTGAAACTTAATCCGACTATGTTTAGGAATGGAAGGTTCACTTATTGGTGGATATTTCTGATTAACCAAGCCCATAATACGTATATACATATTTCATATTACTCTGAAAATCAGAAAAGTGATAGGAGAACTCCAGCAAAATTAGAAACATAAAAGGATTAGGACTTATATTTTTATTTTATTTTATTATTTGCTGGGGGAAAACTAGGATTCTATTGTTGAAAGAGTCTGAGTTTAAACACACAAGATTCAGAGGTGCAAAACTTTTAACAAAGTCGAAAATTCCAGTATATACTGCAGTAGGTTGGAATTGGATATACAGAACATACTAATTGAGTTGCTTTGTATTTCCCTCTTTTTAATTTTTTTTTCTTGTTTTCAATAACTTGTTGTCACATAAATTGTATATGACCTGAAATAACATTGTGCTATCAACAAAGCTACTATTTAATTACCAAAAAAAAAAAAACTACTACTTGATATAATAAAGAAACCAATAAGACTAAAATTTTAAATAATAGATCTCCAAGACGAAATCTTCGTTCCATAGAATTTAGTACTTGATGAGTCAAAAGAGATGTCCTTTTTACTCTCATTAGAATCCAAGTGGACACAACATTTGGTAACACAGCAAAATAGCAACAACACAAACAAAACAAAAAACCTTTTCAAAGTGCATAATTTTGTGTTGATGGATAAGCAAACTCAAGGAGCTCAATGTTCTGCTCAAAGAAGGACATATCTTCTTTGCTCAAAGTCACCCCAAGCCTCAACTCCACCCTCCTCTTGTGTCCATCAGCGTGACGACGTTGCTGTGTCCGGTCGCCGGCATGGTCACCCAGATTGGCTTTCCCCACCCAAAATCAACCACCTCATACAAATCAAAGCACAAACTGGTGAAGATCAAGACACGTATGTCATCTCTTCTGATCAACTCTCCTCCCTCTATCAAATCCTTGCAGATCACTTCCGACGCGCCATCTCCTCTCAGTCTCTTCGCTTTGTTCTCACTATACTCTCTAATTCCCTTCCTTAACTCCGCCACCAGAGTTTCCACTTCCGGTTCATCCTCATTTGTCTCTGCAAGAAAGTATCCAATAAGGTTACCCACCAAGTTATCTGACAAAGGCAGGTCAGCCCTACGGCAAATGTTTATAGACGGTGAAAGCACAAACTTTTTTGCGAATCCCAAGTTTGATCTCGATGCAGACATCACGCATTTCCCAATGAGGGCCGTCACAACTTCAACCCTTGTAGGCTGCTGCACACTGTCACTAGCAGTTTTGGCCTTGAGAGCCACAATCTTTTCCTTATCAAACACATACCTCTTTGTCACACATTCAGCCTTCTTCAACTCAAAAGTAGCCCCTATGAAGGGGATATCTTTTGGCGGGAAGTAGGATGGTGCATTGAGAACCGGAGACACTACTTGAGCAGACCCACTCGAGGCTGCAGCCCAACACTTCATGAAAATTCCCATTGTGGTCGCATCGGCACACTTGTGCGACAAGCACACACCTACTGCCAACCCTCCGCAGTTGAAGAAAGTGGCTCGAACAACCAATAGAGGCCATGTGCCGGCTTTCTGAGAGCCAAACGCAATCGGAAGTAACCGTTGCAGTATTTTTAGATCCGCGGGTTGCTCTAGAAACCTTGAGAGAAGACCACCGAATCGAACTTCAACAAACTGAGCTCCTCCGTCATCGCATTCGATGGTGATGTTGTCATTGATTCTTCCGGCAATCAGTAGAAGAGAGTCAAGGCTTCCGATAGTGATTTCTTTAGCTGTTTTGATCTTTGCTCAGAAGTAACACCATCATTCTTTGGGTGAAAAAAACCACCGGACCATAAATTACGGATTGAAATTGATCCAAAAGACAAAGCTTGAAGGTTTTAAGGTGAGGAAGAGTGGGAGAGGATGGCTTTATGGTTTCTGTTTTAATAATGTCAATCTTTATCGTATCTGCCATATTCTTCAACAACAGAAAGACTTGCAAGAAAACAGAATTCACTTGGATTTTATATCACTCTTTTTTTCTTTCCGTTCATATCTCATTTCATTTTTAAGTATCCGACCGGCCCTCACATTGATCTTCAATATCCTTTAAATTAAATTTCGTTGCGTTGTCTAGTAGTTGAGAATCTTTATTCTCAATATATATATATATATATATATGTGTGTGTGTATATATGTGTGTGTGTGCATATATATATACACACACACACACACATTTGAGAATCTTTATGGTGAAAACGTATCCGGAGACAGTGGTTGCAGTCTTCGGCCAGCAGTTATTCCAAACCAACCTTAAAGCGGAGCTCTATTGAATCATTCATCTCATTCCACGAGTTTTTTTTTTTTTTCAGGGAAAAAAATCATACAGGTTAAGATTTTTCCTTGCCTAGAAGAAAATATAAATATTTTCATCTGTAATCTAATATCTGATGTAACATTTCATGCTCAGTAATGCTTACAAGCATTGAAGGTGTTGCTCGGTTCCCCCCCAAAGCCTTGTCTTTTGTAATTGTATATAAGAAACTTATTTTGTTTTCTTTCGGAATATTTAATACGTCTTACTTTTCTTGTAATTCCATTTTTGACTCAGTTTTTTCTTTGTTAACTTATTGTTGTGATAGTCAAACAAGAATTAAACATCAAATTTTGGAAATTAGTATATGTCCTTCCCTCTAGTTATTGCTTGAGACAGAGGTCGTTTGTTTATGGCTATTTTCCACACACAAGTTATAAAGTAGAATAATTTTCCTTGACAGAACAATTTTGGACGAATGACGATCATTTTCCTTGACATAAATGGTGGATAGGGTAGGATTGTGTTAATTTATCTTTGTAGAAATATTAATTTTTGGTGCATCTCCTTTGAAATATTATCGCAGTCGTCCTTTCTATTTATCTTTATTCGTGATAAGTAATTAAATTAGCTAGGAACTAATAAAGTGGAACAGTTCAGAATACAGTTTCTGTAAGATCTTGGTGTAACATTTTACCTTCAGCAATGCTTACAAGTCAAACTTTCCTCTGATTTTTCTCTTCATGTGTTTTTATATTATTGAAAAATTTGTTTCATCTTTCAGAATATTCAATAATGTCTTAAATTTTTCCGTAGCTCCTCCCAATATTGACCATCATTTTCTTCATTAATTTAGCTGGAAAATAGTAGGTGAACATCACTAATTATCCCCAACAATGCAAGAAACCTAGGTTGTTGTATTGTATGAGGGTTTGGTTGGATCAGCAATATCAATTGCAAAAATAATTTATCCCAACAATATTGCCTTTTAAGCACTTAAAAAAAATAAAAAGATAAAAGAAAAAACTTGAGGGTGGGGCGTTTTGAAGCCTACAACTTCAGGTGCAGATTTACAGTTACGCTATGCCAGCAACCACCTTTCGGCACCTTATTGAATGGCCTAGTAAAAGAATTTTTTTTTTTTTTTATACAAATGAACAAATTATAAATTAAACTGAAACATAAGATTGTTCTATATGATAATCTCTATTAATAAAACAAAGACTTTATTAGAGACATAGAGACTCTCAATATCAAAATCAATACAGAACACTGGGATTACAGGAGGCAAATGCTAGGAGCTCTTGATCACACTCAAATACAAACATTTCATCTTCCTCCAAAGTCACAAATGCTTCAATCCCACCACCATTTTTGCCATGATCCATCAAAATTATAACGTTCTTGTCCACAGTACCAACACTAGTCACCCACACAGGCTTTCCCCATCCGAAATCCGCTTCGTAAACCGGGAATCTACACCAGCTTGAAAATCTATACACCACTTGATCACTCCTGCTCAACAATCCTTTATACTCTTTCAAAATCTCCAACATTTCCAAGAACCAATCTTCTCCTCCAAACTTGTCAGCAAAACTAGAACATAGTTTGGTAAACGCTTCCCTCATTCGACTCACTAATCCAACAAAAAATGACTGATCATCCATTTCAATACTCCCCCATAACACTGGAAAGAACCAAGACAGGCTTCCGACCGAGGTTTCGGGCAACTCCGGAACCATCCTAGTACGCATGTTGACCTGTTGGACAAGAAGATGACTTGAAGTTTTAGCATTAGAAACTACCGCTCTCGAGGCCTTTATCGCGGATTTATAGAGAAGAGCAGTCACAGCTTCAACCCTTGTAGGATTCTCTACTTTTTCCGAGATTACGGCCTTAAGAGAATTGATCTTTTCGGCTTCGAAAACGAATCTTCTAGAAGCGTAATTTCCTTTCCAGTGAACGGCTTCAGGGAACAACGGCAGGTCACCGCGTGGGAACAAAGACGCCACGTTCAAAACAGGAAACGACACGTCCCGGCCTGCGTTTCGAGCGGTTGAAGCCCAACAATTGATGAAAGAAACGAGCGTGGCTGCGTCGGAGAGCTTGTGCGACATGCAGACGCCGATGGCCAATCCACCGCAGTCAAAGTAGTTGACCTGAACAGCCAATAGGAAGCTGACATCTGTGTTTCTCCACTGCAGATTGTCTGGAAACAAGAGGTGAAGAATCTCGGCCTTGGGGTTGTGGAGGAGAGATGAGAGGTCTTGTTTGACTTTGGCTACGAGAAAGTCAACACCCTCGTCGTTGCAGAGAATGGATTCTCTGTCTCTGATTCTACCGGCAAAAGGGTAGTATTTGGATAGTGTTTTAGAGAGAGAGTTTATGAGGAGAGAAGATGTTTCTGAAACGGCATTAATACTCGTGTTGAAAAGGCCATGGCGGTAGAAGAGAAGGATTGGGATGAAAAAGGGAGTAGAGATCTGGTCGAACCAACAGAGATTGTGAATCCTGTTGTGTTGTGGGGTTGGAGAAGAGGGCTTGATTGTTTCTCTTTTTATGATTTCGATCATATCCATGGAGTTGGGGAAATTGATCGGATCAATTAAGAAATAATGTCCATGAATCAAGCCGAAGAACTTAAACCAGAAATACAGTAACATCACAAGTCAAAGACGTGTCCTTT